TGAGCCGGAGGAGGAACAAACACCGAGCCCTACGCCTCATCAAAAGAGGAGCTTCACGCACTGGAGGTATATCTCCGACCTTTGCTGATAGATTTGATCTTATACGCAACAATCAATTCTTATGTGAGCATACATTCGACCCCAAATAGAGTGATAAGCTTATGTGTGTCAAACACCACTTATTTGCACATCATTGGGAACACATGATATCGATCCCATGTATGATTAATGAGACATTGGTGAAGGAACTTTTGCCACCATCGGGAGTTCTAAAAATGACACCATTGTCATTCGAGGAACACGAGTGAATTGGACAGCACCAAAACTCAACTCGGTGCTCGATCTCACCACCCCGTTTATTTGCTCATATCGGCAATTTATTGACGGAGGTATGGATATGCCTGAAAATGAGATAGCAAAGGCACTTCTTTTGCCCGGACATGGCTGGTCCCAAGACAACCGGAGAAAGATCATAATGTCCAGACACTTAACTTTGGAAGCAGCCCTATGGTTTCATTTTGTTCGACCCAATATCATGCCCTCTATGCATGATCGAACCTTATCAAGGGCTAAGTGCATTTTGGTTTACTATATTCTCAAGGAACTCCCAATCGATGTTGGTGCTCTTGCATACTCCACAATACTAACTGCCACAGTGCGAGCTAGTTCCCATTTAATTTTTCCAAGTCTAATAAAAAAATGTTGCTAGCAGCCGCAAAGGTGCCGGTGTTTGAACATGATGTGATTACTTTTAGCCATTCATTGCTTGATCAAGGGACTGTTAATCGCCTGCATAAACCGACACATGAAAATGACAACTTGGTGGATGATGCTACCGGACCCCAGACCACGTGTAGACCTGCTGCAAACAGCCCACGGCTGCCTGATGATTCTTCTGTTCCAGCTTCTCAACCATCCACGATTGTCCCTCCCACCACTGCGATATTCCCCCGATACCACCTACGGCCACCATTATGGTTCGAAAGTTTCGCTATCCTTAATGGTCGGCCAATGGGAGGAATGTAATCAGAAAATGGGAGCAATTGCTGATGCCTTGACCAAGATCACGGACCGGATCACCCAGGTGGAAGATAGAGTTGCCGGATTGACTGCCTGTTCGGAGAAATTTTGGACGTATACGAGAGACCGGAACCGAGTTGTCAACAAGTTCCTCTTTGCCAAGAACGTAATGATGATTGCTTATTTACCGCGATTTCCAGGAGGCCTTTGTCCTCCGCAAGTTTGCCTTCCCAAGATTCATCGGACCACCACTATGGATGCTACGGGTCAGGCTTCCGCCAGTCGAAATGAATTGGGTAAATCGAATTAAATTATTCCTTGGTGTCTCATCATTACTTTTGAAACTTTTAAATTACTTTTGTGAGTATTTGATATTTTGTCCAACCGCCTCTTTTGTGTTTATATAAGGCGGTTGTTGATGGTTACCTCGATATTTTTGTTGTTCGCTACTCTAATCCTTTGATAAGTAAATATTGGGCACTGATATTTTTTTGGTGTTTCGTTAGCTTATTCTTTCATTTCAGGTACGATTTCCTTGATGAATTCTTTCGGGTTGCAAAAATTAAAAGGACGTAGGCCATCTATCATTTCTGGCTAAAACACTTTCTCTAGTTGCCAAGCCAAATACTTTGACCCGCCCCTCCAATGCTACATTGTTCGGTTTAAGTTTGGAGGAGTATGTGCTCCAAAGTGTTATAAAAAAATTGATGTACCAAATGTCTTCAAAAAATTGGAAGACACAAAAAAAATGCCTTAACCCAAAGATCAATAGTGAAAAATCACTTATTGGGTTCCTAGAAAATGTCAAAAATACAACAAAAGGATGTGAGAAATCAAAATCATTCAACCATTGTTGTTATTCTAGACAAGTTTGGAGGAATTTTTTTTAGCCAAATACACTAACCCGATAAAGCCCTACCGATTAATTTTTGCGCCTCGAAGATCAAAGAAAGGAAGTTGTATAACATCTGAGCTTGACGAGATTTCAACGCCCCTCCATAAGTTTTGTGCTTTCTTATTCCTTTTTGTTCATACTCCTTTCATTTTTGTTACATGAGGACAAGTAATATCTCAAGTTTTGGGGTGTGATAACTCATTTTTTAAAGTTATTTCTTATTTATTTCCTCCGTTTTTTGAATTAATAAACACCGAATTTCCTTGTTTTTTTCCCGTTTATTCTAAAAAGTTTTAAAAAGATGATGAAACACAAAAGAAGAAATTTTATTTCAAAAACCTGCAATTTCTGACAAACTGCCCACTGTGGCACCACTGTGGGATGTTCACGAATTTTGTGGCTTTCTGCTTTTTGGAAGATGAGTTGCTTGAAGAATATGTCCAGAGATTTCCTCCAGCTGTAGTTGGCTGTTGAGATGTACCTTTTATATTATTTTATTTTAAGTCTTTATTTAATGGTATTTGCCCCAAGGTTTTTGTGTTCTTAATTTCCTTTGGATAAAGGTTTTGTCCTCTTCCATTTCCCCTATATAAAGAGGCATTAGGAGCTCTTTTGAAGACACATCCTAGATCTCTTATCCCTCATCTCTCTCAATTTTTAATCTTTTAGAAGTATTGTAGCAAATGTTCTCTTCTTATCTAGTTGTAGTTTATTATTTTATTTTATTGTATTAAAGTTGTAATTTAGTTTTATATTAATGCAAGTTACATTTCAGTCTTATTTAATGTCTTCCATTATGTTTATTATGTCTATTATTAGCTAATTTATTCGTATGGGTGTGGGTGTGGGTGTGAGTTTAACTTAGGATTTTTATACAATATTTGAGTATTTTTACTCTTTACCACTTCGTAACTTGGTCACTTAAGACGGAACTTAAATTCGACGCGAATAAGCCGATCACTTTGAAGTGTTAATATTAGATCTTAGACCCAGAGATGAGCGGTTCTGAAATATGGTTTAAGTGATGCACAAAGAACTCGAGAGAGTCTTTGATAATTACGTGGAGATGCGAATTTTGTATGTATTTAGTTAAGGATTAAGCGATGGTTATTCTTATCACAAAGAGATTTGAGTATGGATTTTATTTCTTCTTCTTTTAGCTAAATCGACAAGTTTCGAAGAGGTGAACATAATAACTTTGTGGAATTTTATGGGGACCGTTTGTAAATTTTCACTTCGAAAGATTGAAATTTTTATAAACAACTCATAAGATTCTAACCATTTTATTGTTAATTTTAACTTAAGAAACACTTACACCCATGCCCATTCTTTAATCTATAAGTTCATTTCGCTATTTTAGTCCTTTTTAGTTTTTTTATAAACAAAAATCCAACTTTTATTCACAACCTTAAACTCGAGCAAGAAGTTCATGAAAGTCTCCGAATCTCAGTAGTCCAGTCCCTGTGAAACGATTTCGGTATTTTACCACTTTATTACTTGCAAACGATCATAGTGTCGGCATACACTTATACCGCCACTGTGGGAAATTTGTGTCCACTGTGTGAACACGAACGATTCTAGCCTGTCAACATCAATGATGGTCTTCGTAGGAGTAGAAGAGAAGTTAGGGTATAATCGATTAGGGACTTATGATCAGACTCTTATCGATTAGCCCAAATTTTTAAAGTTATTCACCTTCAAACTTATATATTGATTTTTAAAACTGAAAAATATATTACTTGTTGAGATTTATGAGTAATCCTCCATTGATTACCAAAGGGATAACCAACGATACATTTAAAATTTTTGTCTCACGTACTCAGTGATCCGTCGGTAATCCATGTACTCGATAATCCTCCAATGATCACCAAGTTTTTGCTTTATAAGTTTTGTCTCATGTACTCGTTAGTCCATCGGCAATCACCGACGGTATTCTTTAAATAAATTTTTATTTGTAATTTTTTCTCATGTACTCGGTATTCGATCGGTGATTATGTAGGGATTATCGACGGTCTATCAATAAAATTATTTATTCTCGTGTAGTTGGTAATTTGTTGGTGATTACCCATGGATTACCACTATAATTTATTTATTTCTTATTTTGTTAAGAAAAACATATTCCTTGCGTGAGCCTCGGTGATCACCTATGGAACCTTCACCTTTATTGATATCTTGATAATATTTCATATTTTGCCGGAACAGTTGGTATTTTTGTGGGTGATCCATTGGTAATCATGCACGGGAATTTTCCTGGGTGATTTTTATGGATAAAAGTCGTTTATTTTGTAGTGGATAAGACTCTATAGCTTTGTCTTGTAAACCTAAGTTCTATAAATTATTATATTATGATGCTTAGTCAATTTAAGCATCCTATAAAGTCAATTTTATTGTAGTGATTGCAACAACATTAGGTTTATATAGTATGCCTAAAATGTTTGAATGTGCTATCTAAAAGTTTGATCATATGTTTATAAGACGTTTTTGGACATTTTACCAAGTTTTTTATAATCACTCTTTTCAAATGAAGTGTTGTATTCGACGATATTTGAAAAAGGAGTCCTATAAACACAAGTTTTCTATAAAAAGATGATTTCATAGGACACTTCTCATAATTTTCTTATAAATTAACTAATACGACATTTTGTTTTCAAAACGTCTTGAAAAAAACTTGTTAAAGCGATTAAAAACGTCTTATAAACCTATTCTAATAATTTTCGATATGTCGCTTTATAATTTGCTCCTATAAACTTAAATCAAGAGGCTAAATCATTTTAACCATTCTATAAACCCTAGTTAACTTTTGTTATTCTAAGAAGGAATTAAGTTCTTGACTTGGTGCATTTGACTCAAGTAATTGTACAAATAGCTGGTTGACTTGAATTTAAGTCCGTTTGAAACATCAACAAATTGATGTGGAAATCACTTCTTAATGCATTAAAGAAGATAGATAGATTTGTACATATATAACATGCACTTGAACAAAAGAGAAAGGTAGAGTTTTGCAACATCACCTTTCCGTAGGAAAAGAAGTACATTATTTGTATTAGTATTTGATGCCCATATGTCACCATTAATATCAAAGAAATCAAACTTCAACTTGAGGTTGCCCTAGCTGAATGTCCTTGTTTACCTTGAAAGCAGGCTCAAACTCGCCCAGATAACCTCCGAGTTGACTTGACAATCCCAGCTTATCGATCGGTTCCCGATGATACGATTTACAAACAAGATACAGCATCGTTTGCACCACATAACCAAGAAGAAACAGATCCATAAGTAGAAATATGCACAGTATTCCGATGATCAGTCCCATAAATCCATACCACACGAATAAATAGAACACTATCAAGATGCCCACAAAGATGCAATACAATCCGAAGAATACGAACCATGAGAGCCACCTCTTTCCTTTGATGAGAGCACTGCCCTTCATCATCGCTTGCAGACCATAAGAGCTTTCCAAAACAGTAACCACACTCGCCAGTTGCCAAACTGCAGTTATATATATAAAACCCACACAGTAAATCGCGACTAAGATGTAAAACAAGACAACGGAGAAGGTGCTGTCTGTGGTGGTGGTTGACCATATGTAGACCACAACTCCCGCGACCACGTTGTAGATGAAGAAACCAAAGTATGTCCACAAGAAAGTTAGAGCGAGTCTCTTCCACACTTTCGGGACGATTTTCAGGACTTTCTTGAAGGTGACCTCATCCCCGGAATATTTGACAGCGATGGTGTAAACAATGGCGGCAGTCGACAGAAGAGAAAAAAGGAGGAGGAAGCTCAAGTAGACTAGTCTGAAGATCCAATATCCAATCCATTCAGACGATAGGCGACGATAGAGGTGGTCGTTTCCGCCACGATAGTCTAGCCGGTCTTCGTCATTTTCAATCCTCCAATCAATTACATCCGAAATAACAATATGTAGAAGAAAGATGAAGGATAAAGGGAGGATGAAAGTTAAGGTGATCTGGGTGAAGAGTTTCTTCCATGAAAGAATGGTTTTGACAGATTCTTTGTAGATACCAAAGAAACCAACTTCTTGCATCTCTTCTTGAGGTTTATCCATGGTTTAATTTCTTGGAAAAGAGGGGTGGAGATGAAATAGAGGATTGGGTGTAAATTTATAGTAAGAAAGAGTAATTTGGACGTGGATTTCCCGATGGATTACTATGTTTTTTGTAAGTTTGTGGGGATGGTTTCTATGGTACCCCTCTTAATTGTCGCTTTAATCCGCCGTAGAAGATGCCATTACGGATTTCGTACCAAGGATTCCGTCTACTAAAACCAATAAATATGTCATTAGTAATGAAATATAACCAAATTAAACTATTTTAATGTAAACAAGTGAAAGATTAGCTATAAATTATGTGGAGCTGCTTTAAATAAGAATACCAAATATCATTATGAGAAGGTACAAAAATGAAGGTTTATATGTGAATCTTTTCTTTTAATCTTCATTTCTTACCTTCTTATGATATCTAGACTTCTTATTTGAACCGTCTACTAAATGTTTTAGGTTAAACTGCAAAAAAATCCAACGGGTTAAAAAATCTAACATATATAATTAAAAACATTTTTAACAAACTAGCTGAAAGTTGTTGGCTGATAAGAACTTTTTTTATTACTAATTGATAAACTATATGACCATCATATGAAAAAATAAGTTATAAATTATAGAATTCTAACGCACAAGAGGCAGGATATGAGGAAACAGTTGGCAAAACCTATGGAGCATTTGTAAATGCTATTTGATGTAGATGTTCAAAAAACAAACTCAAGGTAGTTTTTTTTTTCTATTTAACCTCGATATCCAATTTGTTATGTGAGAATTTCAAAACGACCATCTGTTTTGTGAGTAGCTCGGAGTCGTAACATTTGAATTTTTGTGGTCACAAGGGGATTTTTAATCTTTTTTGGATTTGAATCTGGACCTCCAGGCACTTTTGACCTTTGAAGCTCAAACTCAAACCAATCAGACACGACCCTTGTGGTTTGGTAGTTTATAACTAATGAAACATAACTTTTAAATAAACTAAAAAATAAGCGTGCTATCAAGCATGGCCTTTATAACCTCATATATACACTATATTATAAAATATTAAAATTAAATTCTTAAAAACCATTTTTAATGCATAAAATACTGTTTAATAATGCATATTACTTAAATTTCAAGAATACAAGTAATTGTGCATTGGTACAACTTTTTAAAGTTGTATGTTTGAATTTATATAACTAACTTATAAATATAATCAAATACAGGATAAATATCTCATTTTAAATATAAAAAAACTAAAATATAATTAGGATAGTCATTAAATTCTAACAGAATATTTAATTAATATTATATTTATAAAAAACACTATTATTAAATCTAAAATAAATTAATTTGTTATTAAACTTAAATTAAAAAATAAAAAAAAACTGGATTAAAAATTATATAAAAAACAGAGAACTTTTAAATTGTTAATTTAATACTAATATCCATATATTTTTTTCAAACTTTTATGAGGTCTTCAAATTTATGTTTATCCAAATATAAAAAATATTATTGTTTTCTCAAAATCATACAAAAATGGATTAAACAATAAAACGAAACAATAAAATCGATATGTATCGAGTTGAATTGCTCGAATACGCTTCTAGTAATACTATACATTATTTTATTGGTTAAAGTTGGATCATTATAATAAGAAAAATTACAAGTCTTATCTATATCTTTTACTCAAAATTACATTATGTATCCCTAAAATGAAATAATTACAGAAAAGTTTTATGTGGTCTACATTTTATAACGCTCTAGGCTTCTAGGTTCGTGTCACTAACTTCATTTAAAAACTTCTTTTTAACTCGGGAAAATTTGGTCCTTTTATCTGTTTTTGTTGTTCCCCTTTAAAAAGTAAATAAGAATATTATATATATATATATATATAGGTTACTGAAAAAATTTAATTGAATGTGAATTTGTGAATTGCCATTACAGATATTTATATAAGTTGACATATGCATCTTTAAATGGAAATTTTCAGTAATTCACATATATATAAACCCATGTTTAAAATTTATTTCTTGTCTTCTCACGATATTTAGCGTTCTTATTTGAACCATCGGCCCAATATAAATATATAGGAGGCCCCATTTTGAAAACTCTATAATTTGTGAGATCCTTGATAATAGTACATCATGTGTTATTTGATGTAATTTTTTTTTCATCTATGGCTAGAATTTGAGGTAAAAGTTCTTATGGGTCTCACAAAATTTGGAATACACAAATGATTAAGCCCTGTATATATGTATGTATGGTGAAGGATCGTGTTACACAAATGATTAAGCCCTATATATATGTATGTATGGTGAAAGTTATAATGAGAAGTGTAAGAAGAGATCTGAACCCCTGATCACTTTTAATCTCATTCTCACCCATGAATTTTGCTTTAGAACGAAATTTATCTGGTGCATCTCAGTGTACCTCATTAGTGTTGACATTCAAGTACGATTGATCCAAGGGTGAAGTTCTCCTTTTTACGTTTCTCAATATAACTTTTATTCTTATCGGAACTTAATCCTACATATATTATATAATATAATATATACAAACTTAGGATCATGGAAGGAAATCTAATTTTGATAAGAATAGTAGGAAGTGATTTATGGTCTTTTATTAGTTTTGATCCTATGGTTTATAAATTAGGTAGCTTTTGTTTTGGAAGGGTATTTTCGTCATTTGATTAATTGGTTCCACATTCCAAACCAAATTGCTAATTTGTTTCTTGTTTTACTTTCCGGTTCTCTTTCAATCATCCTACTAATTCTCAAGTTGATTTCCAATGATTTTCAGTGTCGCATTCAATTCATCCTTTCCTCCGTTAAGTTCTTTTACTACTCTTTATAGAGATTCAGACTTAAATCTTCTTTTTGTTCTAGTCGATGTTTTAATGCGTTTGCTATCGTATATGGATTAAATCAATTGGTTTTCTATTTCTTTGACCTCTTTTATAGTTATCACATATATTTATCTTTTTGTTCTTCTCATTAATCATTGTTTTTGTTAATCCCATAATGATCAATTAACAATGTAAATTCAACAATCAAGAACAACAATAGATTAAATCATCATATCATTTGATTATCTTCCATTACAATACGTTCCTCTCTCTAACTTGTCTCTCTAAACTAGATTCTCAATGTACACATCTAACTAACAATTACCATTACAAGCTAGTTATACTCTTGACTAATTACAAACTCAAACCACAATTAAGCTCTAATTAAACTTTGACTTTCTTTGACCATTGTTGAGTTGAAAATGTTGTATTCAAATCTTTGTGCTAAAACTGCTTTATATGCTTTATAGTTTAGTCTTTACATGCTTTGTAGTTAGTTTAATGTTTTGTAATAAAGAGTATAAATAGGAGCTCTTGTTAGTTGTTGGTGGTTAGTCTTGTGAGATCTTTGCGAGAATATCGGGCACCAACTGTAACATCAAGAACACTCTGTACTCATTGTAATTCATCAAGATATAGTCGACTTATCAATCTTGTGTTCTTGAATCTATTCTATTTGTGATTACAACTTGAATTTGGGATCTACAACCATGTTGACTTTCATATTTGACAATTCTTCAAGTCTTCAATCTTGTGATCTTGGATACAATATTCTTGACCTAACAATCTCCCCCTTTCTATTCGACAATACAATTCAGCAAATATCAACACTCTAATAATCTCCTCCTTTTGAAGACAATCAGATTTTGTCCACAAAGCATATCTGAAAAATAATAATTTTCCCTTTTAACAAATACAGTCTTCAGATCAAAATCTTCATCTTGAATCAATCTTTATAATCTTCAGAAGTTTTAGAATAGTTTTTGATCTTCAACAGTTAACAGAACTTCAATAAATCCTTTTCAGTCAACAAATAAGCTTTAGAAATTTAGACTTTAAGCTTTAAAACTACATGTACTAAACTCATCACCATTATATCATGAAAGAATCCAATTTTGTCAACAACTTTCTTCAAACAACTTTGATTCAAGCATCCAAAAAATCTTTTGCAGATAAGGAAACACAAGTCAATAACTCAACACCAAATTCTTTGAATCGGTATCAATCTTTTCGTCACATCTACAATCTTTAAGTCGAATGACTTTTCAACCTTTGATTCAAAGATTTAGATTCAAACCATCTCTTTCATATATTGAATCAACAAAATATTCGTTGAAGAACATTTGTAAGCTTGTTTAGACATTAGAAGAAGATATTTTTATGCGTTATTTTGAAACCTTAGATGGTTTATATGCGTATTAAACTTTTTGAAGCACTCTTTTGAAACCTTAGATGGTTTGTATGAATATTAGATATTTTGATGCGCTCTTTTGAAGCTTAAATGGTATATATGCGTATTAGATGTTTGTCGTTGTTTGAACTTGGGAAGATGTTTGTTGGCTTTTATATAACTTTTATCGATGAATGTTATGATCAAAGTTATCTTTAAAGATGATGTTGTCCTTTTCATTCGAATTTTGGAACACTACAAGAAGAAGGAGCTTTAGAGAAGAAATCTTCAGAGAAGCTTTTAGAAGTGTATCTAAAGCTTCATTATAGAGAAAGATTTAAATGACAAAAATGAGAAATGTAACTAAAGGTTGGACGACATTTAAAGAAGGATTTATAGGCTAATTATACGGTGTAAGAAATGTCGTTA